CCTCAAAGTTTGATGCAAAAACGCATGATCGCACCGGCTCGCCTAGTGCGTTCCAGCCTGGGTTTTGTGTTCTTGTAGTAACAACTTCACACAGTTTTTGCGCAGCGTTCAAGAATATGTGAGCAAAGAGGTGTTTTAATAAGTCCCCTCAAAATCTCCGTTCATAAATGCACTGCAAGTATTTATTTTCATGCCTTTTCACAGTCTAATTTTGGAGTTGTGCAATTAGCAACCTGCCTTGACCAGTGCTGCGTCGCTTGGCAGTGATCTTTCTGGTGATTCTTGTGGAGGATCTGCTTTTTTTGATCAGTAATTGCAACAGTTCTCCAGCTGCTCAACCGACGGTTCTCCCCGACGGGAAGCATTTATCAAATTTAGTACGAACAGGTTCCTTGTTTTTTCAGACATTGCTGAATTATTTCTTTCTCAATGCTTCCGGCATTACAGTGGTTTTCTGTGGTCTGAGCGGTAGTGGCGCAAGACCCCGAGTATCCCGATTTTTGATCAGAATTGGCCGAAATTTAATAGAGAGATTGCAGTGGGATCCGAAATTGTCTGGAGATACTGTAATTGTGGTTTCCGAACTAACGATTTCGATTGATTTGGGGCGCATTTTTCGTTTTTTTTTTCTACGTTGCACTTTACTAATCACTGTTCGCCCCTCTCAGTGCAGCTAATCCGCAATCACCAAACATGCACGAACCGGTTACGTTAGCGTTGTTTTCATATTCTGGTGTTGCCCAGTAGGGAATATGTTGCAGTTCGACGAAATGGTGACTGATGAAATGGTGCCGGAAAACGACGACCAACGATCAGTCCTCGAATTTTATCCGAATTTGAACAAAATTTGCGGAAAATTGTTGGATGAGCTGGTGGAGGATGCCGTCGATTGGGCACATGTTAGTTGATTATTCTTGTAAATTCCTCTCTTTGGAAATTGTCGGAAGTAGCGGAGCTGCTTCATAGATATAATTTCCCAGCTAATTTTGATAAATATACTTATCAAAATTGCTGCAAAAATTGCAGCAATTTTATTCGGCTAGTTTTCGAATTTGCGCAGTGCTAACTTGCGAACTTTGATGCGATCGTACACATGATAGAAGTGTACACTATGGCTGACTTTGAAATCTTTAGATCACACTTAGACATCCCTGTTGAATTCCAGCTTTCTATTCTGTTTCGTTTCCCGCCAAAAAAATTACATATTTTTCCGGAAGTCCTTACGCGAGATCCTGGCACAAATGAGCGTTGGTTTTAAAACGGGAGATTGGCACATAGTCGGGCAATATGTACCCAGGATTTCAGTTTCCTTGATTTTCTGGTCGCTGAGTTGAAAGTGGGTAAAAAAGTTCATTCGCCTCGAAACACATATGCATGCATACGTACGTACGTACACACGGACACTTCAACAATATCCGTTTTCGCATTTGCATAAAGTGTAGAAACGCATAAAAAGGACGAAACTTCATTCACTTCATCCACGGAAACATTTTTAGGCATTAGAATGGTGTGAAATCGACAGCTGAGCAGAGTTAACTTAGTCGAAAGCGTACCGGCTGCCGGTACGAGAATGCGTTTTTTGCACATTTCCTCCGCAGGTCTTTTTCGCCAGTGGCACGCTCTTCTCGGAATAGCTAAAAGAATTGTGACTGGCCACCACGACTGTTAGAAATTATTACAATGACTCCCTATCCACGCCCAAAAAATTCAGTGCTCTGGATGCTTCTGTTGCGGAGTTACGCCAAATTTCATATGTTCGTACGTGAGTAGCAACGTAAGTCTTTTCTTCGGTTAGGATTACTTAAAGACGGCCCTAGGTAGCGCTCAAAAAGTTTCAGTACTCAAGCTGCTCTGGTTGCAGAGTTACGTCAAATTTCACGTACTCGTACGTGAGTGGTTACGTGAATGCTTCCTTCGCCCGCGGTTACTCAAACACAGTCCTGAGTAAAGCTCAGAAAGTTTCAGCACTCCAGCTGCTCTGATTGCTGAGTTACGTCAAATTTCACGTATTCGTGCGTGAGTGACAACGTGGATGCTTTCTTTGCTCGCGGTTGCTCAAACACGGCCCGGGGTAACGCTCAGGAAGTTTTAGCACTCAAGCTGCTCTGGTTGCTGAGTTACATCAAATTTCGCGTGTTCGTACGTGAGTGGCAACGTGAATATTTTCTTCGCCCGCAGTTGATCAAACACAGTCCTGAGTAACGCTCAGAAAGTTTCAGCACTCCAGCTGCGCTGGTTGCTGAGTTACGTCAAATTTCATGTGTTCGTACGTGACTGGCAACGTGAGCGCTTTTTTTGCCCGCGGTTACTCAAACACGGCCCAGGGTAACGCCCAGAAAGTTTCAGCTCTCCAGCTGCTCTGGTTGCAGAGTTAGGTCAAATTTGATGTATGTGTACATACACGTGAAACTCGCGTGACACGTGAGAGTGATGTGTAAGTCATTTTTGCGTGCACTTGGTCAAAGGTCACCGTCGGTTATGCTCAGAAAGTCCAGGTCCTCCGGCTGGTTAAATTTTAAAGTTACAAAAAGCGCGTGCGTAAAATTTGCACGTGTTCGCACGTAACATGCTGAAGAGCTGACAAGTAATTTACTTTCGCGAGCACAACAATAGGCGACTAGTAAAGCTGCAAAACTGCAGCCCTCTGCAGCTTATCGGTTAGCTTAAATCTGGAGTTGGCGTGATGCCAGTTTAAACTTTGACGTGTGCGGACGTGAGACCTGGGGGTGTATGAAAGCTGAATTTAAAATCTTTGGATTAGGCGCGGCCAAAGAACATCTCCGTGAAGTTTCAGCTTCCTAACGTGGACCGTCCTCGAAAACGCTTTCCCGCCAAAAAACTTTCACGTGCCCCTACGTGAGAACCACGTGGGCTTGAGCGTCCATTTTGAGGATATGAGCCCACACGTGTGTGCAGATTAACTCACGAGATTTTCAGCCTTGTGGCTTTTGTGGATCTCGAGATGAAAACTCGTTACAGACGCACACATAGACACACACACACACACACACATACACACACAGACAACCCCTA